TGGATTTCCATCTCTGACTCAATCCTTTTTGACTGTGTGCTTTTGTGTGGTTTGATTGAAGGTAGCATAGTTTGGGGGGCTGAAAGAAAGAGAAAGCCACCGCTGTGTCGGAGGCTTCTCCCCTCGCTGTGCGATCGTAGAGTGAGGGAAGAGTTTTAATATACATACTGGGAGCAATGAAGACGGGGCACCTTCTTCTTTTCCCTTTTCATTAGTACTTTTATCCATTTGTCAGCCCCTTCCCTAACCTCAGCATGGATGAGAGTTTCCTCTAATATTAAATGCTTTTAGCTGGAGTGCAGAAATGTGTCTCCCCCCTCTGGCAAGGACAGTAAGTACATAGCGGTATCGACACGTGCTTATGACGATATGATATCTCCTTTCTTTTTTACCTAAGGCTTAGTTACTTTTCTATCTGGAGCATCAACTGCATAGTGTTTTCTAGGAAGCTTTTAAAGATTGTGCACCTTCGCTTTTACCTAACTCCCAGATTCTGCTCGATTGCTATAGTCTCTCCCCGCTTTCTCCCCCCTTTAGCTCTGGCTAGTTGACGTAAAACACATCGCCAATGTGGTAGAGTGGGACATTTGCAAGAACGCCATTAAAATACTTGAAATACAGAGAGCTTCCTATGCGGCGAAAGGTGAACTCAAAATGTTGTCAACACATTCAGCGAGGGCTTGAATGAAACTGGGTTCTATTTTATGTAAAAGTCCTCCAATCCAGATCTTAAAGAAAACAATAAATCGCTTTCAACATGCCATACTATCAGAAGCCTAAAACATCTAGCATCGTTTTCGTGTGTCTGACAGAAGGAGGGATGAGACGAACAGCCTTTTAGTGTCCAGAGGAGAGCTGAGTGTGAGGCTTAGGGGGAGACAAAGAGGGTCAGTGTGCGTGACAAAACGCAATGGAGCAGAGCCTGTCTGCTGACAGCGAGGAGATAGCACTCTGACACCTGTGGGATCGTCACCTCTCTTCATGGCATTTCCGTGTGTGTGTGAGACTTCAAACATGTCTGCTTGCTCCTGAAATGCATTAAATGCTTGTCAGGTCGTTGCAAATTGCCTGCAGCGTTTATCATATACAAGCCCCCTGTCGAGCTGCAAAGTGCCATAATTGTTTGGAATACTATTTGTATGTCATGTATTAACTTGTGTGTTTTATCATGTAGAAATAGTGTTGAAGGTAGGAGAAACAATTTCAGAATGTGCCATTGTGATTTGCATTTTTAACCTGATTTGCACCTGATAGTGAAATGCATCGCAATGCAACAACGGGTGCTAACGACCTTAACAACGCATCACTAATGAGCACCACACACTTAATTATTCAACATGTTTATCATCACATAATGATAACATCAAATACAAAAACATAAGTTTGGCTAATATAATATATATCAGATTTTGGCTGAAATAGATTTACTAAAATGTTCAAATTGTTCCAAAACAATACTAGCATATTTATTTTGTTGACCAAGATAAAAACTTAAATGCCAAGACTTTTAGACCTTGCTTTAAAAAAAACAGGATACAGTTGACTTAATATGATGAAAACTATCAAGGACATTTCACACAAGACTTATACTTATTTATAGAATAGAAAATGAACATAATACATTAAGGCTTCTGCTTTATTGCCTCCACCTTCATTCCTTCTGTGTGCTCTGTAAAGTGTGTTTGAAAAATGGCTTTAAATACAAACAGCATGCTTTGATTGCTTTATCCAGTATATACAGTGTACATAGTTACCATCGAAGCACATGTAAAATGTGTTTTCTGTGAACTGTGTGTCTTCCTCCACACATGCAGTTATACTCAAACCTTTCCTCAGCCAGGGAGAGAAACTGAGCCCTCCAAAGTAAATTCTCGGTGTCAGGTGTTAGCCGGGTGCCATAAATCCAGCCAGTCCGGCATGGGTGGGAGGAGAAGGGGAGCCCGGAGGTAATTTGTGGCCAAAAAATGGGGCATTTTTCCTGGCCGCTCATAAACTAAGACGCCAAGCCTGGCACACTAATCCATGGACCGCCGAACTTCCCCCTCTCCGGCTGAAGGGTTGACATCGCCTTCGATCATGTGTAAACCATTACGAAGGAAAGGGCTGTCATTTATTTCCCATGATCCCGTGGGAGGCTGCAGGTGGGCAGGGCAAAGATTTGAAGGCATGATCACACAGAATATGATGACCTTTTTCTCTCGCTCGCCCTCTCTCGGCGTGTGCACACACGTGTGTTAGAGGGAGAGAAGAAGAAGGGCTGTGATTACGCCCAGTGTGTGTGAGATAGTAGCAAAGAGAGAGAGAGAGTTGGGGACGGGGGGGGGGGCAGTTGGAACAGGCAGTGGAAGTCAGTTTTTCTCATGAATCTATAAAACATTCACACACAACAAAGTATTTAATTTACAGCGGCTCAAATGAGAGCCCACCAGTTAACCAAGAGACCCCCTTAACCCTTTGATTGTGTGTGTTTCTGCATGTGTGTGTTCAGCAGTGATGGAATGTCAGTTAGTACTTTTTGGTTATTTACTCTAGTATTTTCACATTATGCTACTTTATACTTTCACATTAATACATTTACTTTATAGGGTTAACTATTTTGTAGATCAAGTTTATTTTTACAAAATCTATCTATCTCTACCCAGAAGTGCAATATTGATATGCATAAATTGTATAACACAATTATATTATATATACATCAAAAATGAGCCATCTAACATCATGAATACTTTTACTCTTGTTACTTTAAGTCAATTAAAACTAATACTTTTGTCATTAAGTTTAATTTCGTATGCGTACGGAGTGCTCTAATCTGTGCAGTGAGCAGTAACACATGTGTATGCATGCAGTTTGCACTTGTGTTTGTACCCGTGTTTAACGCTCAGAATACACACACCCTGTCCGGACGTTGTTTGCATGTAGACGTATGCACCTCTCCGGTCATTGCTATTACCACCTAATAGCTCACTGGCTGTGGATTTATAGTCATGTGCGACTCTGTCTGTGCTGCCCGTCCCTTCATGGATCAATGCATTAAGGCCTTCTGCTTTGAATACCAAACCAGGCTTTGGCTTGCACCTCCAGCGGCGCTGTGCTGAACAGATTGCACATGGTCACTCTCCTCCTACAGAAAGGCCTCTCTACCCCCCCCCCCCCCGAGTGGCCTGAGGAGCTGTGGTTCTATTTAATAGCAGCCCCAGCCTGCAGAGATCCCTCAGTAAGCGGCGCTCCCACATGCAAAATGTATGACTGCAGCGAAACACAAAATAGTTCTGTCTCGCAGATATAGGTTTTCAAATCCCATACTCCTATACCCCAAGATATTGAGCAGCTGTGTGACAGTGGCAGAAGGAGAGAGGGAAAAGATTAAAGTGTTCCTGTCTAGCATGTGTCTATTTTCATCCTGCTCTACAGAGTGTAAGAGTTTCCGTCTTATTACAGTTAGAAGAGGGAGCAGACTGTGTACCCCAGAGAAGGCTCTGGGATTGGGTACAGGTGGAGGCTGGGCCCACTTTTCTGGAGCGATGAAAGCAATGTTCTCTGCTGGAGCTGACTATCTGAGGAAACAATGATTCATAACTCAGTGCTGGAGACGAATGATAACATCTCAATATTACTGGCTGTCTTTTTTACTACTGCTAACAGAGCACGCTGCAACTTTTCTGATAAAACACAGGAAACGGACAAACAAGAGTTACCTTCAAAATCACTTCTGGTTTCTTTGAACCCACAACACTTTAATGGTAGTCTGTAGATAGTCAGATTCAACGGATAAATGACAATGTGTCCTTTAGACATACAAACTTATGATGGGGGCAATTTAAGGGGAAAAAAAGGTTTTGGGTCTCCTAACTTTCATTTTTTTTAATTCTTAAATAATTTCTGTATTTTTTTCCAATGTAAAATTAGGACAAAAAGGTCAATTTCCAAAGAATGCTGAAATATTCATCATCTTTCACTAAATTCCTTTTTTAACCAACATCAGTGCTGATTCTAACTACTAAATATGTATTTGTATTCACAATGTTATAATTTAAAATGCCCTTTGGTTACATAACCCCAATGTTTTTATCTGGAAAAACATCAAAATAAAGTTATCTATACTAAATGCAGCAGCTATAAGCCTTGAGGGGGAATAGCATGATTTGATTCTCAGATTTGCCCCATAGGCCAGATCTGGTGGAAGGAAAGGCTGTAGATTGAAAGCCTGATATAATAGATTGTTTGATAATATACAGTAATGTTTGTGGGATCAAACCGTGTGTTTGAATAGGGACATGTTGGTCCTTTGGGGTCTTTTTGTGTTTTGGCAGTTTATTAAAGACTCTCACACTTGCCAATCTTTTAGCCATTTGCATTAACACAGACAAAATGTTTGAAAAGACCTCAAAAGCCCAAATCATCCCTAGCGAGGCACAAGGGTTAACACAATTATACACACAATACATTCCTGCCAATATTTTCATATTATTTGAATGTCGAATAATGTTTCATCTCCCAACTGTTAAGGGTAGGAGTCAGCTTTCTGTTTGAGCAACACTAATAACTAGCAGAGCACAGCAACGCCAGCTGACTCTTGTAATGTTATTTTCAAATACGTATCTGGCTTGAAACAAGTGTCTTTGAAACTATTTAAACAGCATCCCTAATTAATGCAGTGTAAAGTATATCAGTTTAATGTGAATAATTTAGCCATCATAGCATGCAAACAAATAGGCTGTTTAGGTCCAGCCGACAGCCCATGACTGATTTAATGGTTGTATAGCGAAATAACTGAACCAAAAACACTAACAGCTGACATTTCCTGACAATAATGCCCACTGAAAATGTTGACACATGGTAAATAAAGTTTGAAGGCTACTTGCACCGCCCACACACGCCACTGAATTTAAGGACACTCATTACATGCTTGACCTCTGTTGCGTGTCTTCATTTCTTTCGACACTCATTAATGTGTGTTCTCAAATGTCATTTTGCTCTTCCTCTTATATCGCCGTCCGCAGGAAGAAGTGATGAGACAGACGACGTGGGTGGATGAGCAGGTAATAGCTTGCCGGAGTGTGTGGTGTCTTGTGTTTCGCCGCCGTGCTGCACAATTGATTGGCCTTAATGATATTTCCAAAGGCAGGAAGCTCAAAGGAAACAAAGTTGAAGAAACAAAGCTGTCCAAAGTCCTAATGGACAACTGCAGTTGTATCTGTCAGTAATTATAAAGTAGATGTCTTTTTCTTTTACTGAAAAAACTTCTGACCTTTTAAAAATAGTATTATTTTCTCTATCTCCTTGCTCTTGACAATAGTTGAGTCATACTTGATAAACACTTCTGGGTCTATGTGTCCATAACTGAAGCTTCTTCCTGTGGTTGGTTAGGAAAAGGCATGTCTCGCCTACATCTGATTTGATTTAGGTTTTATATTTTTGGTTAGAAGTTTGTTCGGAGAGTTTCCATTTGGTACACAACAAATCATTTTCTGCCCTTGTGTGGCCAACAAAGAAAAAAAATGTATAACAAGGCCACAATTTCTTTGTATGTGCACACTATTGAATTGTATGACCTGAAATTAAATAATTTTTTAAAGTTCAATACAATATACATTGTTGCATTGCACAGGGCAAGGTCATTATTTCTTTCCGTTGTAAATAGCTATGGATGAAACTTCTTAAGCTGAGTGTTATATACTTGGGGATAAGTTATTAAAGGGGCTCATTTGTAGATTCCGATTTGTATTTTCTGGCCCTGAAATAACTTAGTTGTGTTGCATTAATGGATATTAGCAAGTAAGATACAGCAGTTTCTCATTTGCCTCTGATTTGCTAAACTGAAAAAAATGTTGTCATTTTAATTAGATCTAAAAAGTTAGTTGAATGCTTTGTTTTAGAAATTATAATAAATCTTTGTGTGAAGTTATGTAGAAAACTTTACACCTACACAGAAAAATCAAAGTCTGAAATAAAAGTTAACTTTCCTCAATATAGACCAGTTATGTAACACGGTTATGTATGATTCATTTGTATAGACTTCTTCGGAGAGGTTTCGAAGGTGGATGATAAAATGTAATTGCCAGCCATATTGATATTCACTTTATTAAATATTCTAATGATAACGAGGAAAGCATATGAAAAAGTCTGCACAACTCTGGATATTAATCCGAAGGACTATTATTTTCTGTGCTGCAAGCTCCAGCTCTGCATCATTACATGCTCGAACACACACCTTTGAAAAGTTTTACCCAAATTCTATTAATTATTGCCGTCTGTGACATTCCCTTTTCTATTTTAAATGTATCCAAAAAAAGATCTTCATAGTTTCTGGCAGGCTTCCTAAAATGCCCATTAATCTTAATCTGGAATTATATGAGTCTCGCTTTCCTCCCAGAGTGATAGTTAGTATTTCCACTGGCGGGGAAAATAGCTTTTTAAGATTGCCATGATGTGGCAACAAATCACATTCTGACATCACGGGAAAAGGGGTCAAAATCAATCAGCCGCCCAGTGGCCTTTGACATTCAATAAACGTCAGTGGGTATTTATATGCATCCCTAACCGATGGCTAAAATAACAGGCCGCAGATGACAAAATATGATAACAATTAGACAGGCCTCAGCGTGGGGGGGGGCTCACATCTGCATGGATCACTGGCTGTATCACATTCATGGTGGGAAATGGAAAGAGGGCAGATATAGAGGGAGAGGAAGAGGAGGGAGGGGGTAAGACAGAGAGAGGAATCATCACGTTAATGTGGTCATTTCCCAGAAAGCATCATTCAGCCCACACAAACCCAAATGCCAGCATCTAAATCCATCTTTAATTAGGCCGTCGCTGTGTGGAGAGGACAGAAGGCTGAGGGGACTAACAATATCAGTTGTTTACAATAACATCAACCGCCTTGTTATGGCGAATGTGTGACAGGGTGATAAGGTCACACATGGGACTCCATTACAGCAAGCTGCTTTATCTGGGAACATTGATCCCACAGAGTGAAGCTTAAAGGTATTCCAGTAAACCGTACTTAAACGTCAATTCTTACCTCATTGTTTTGCTTATTCAAAAATGGCAACATGTGGTGAGAATTCTCCTAAAATATGGATAAGAAAAATAAAGCCTATTGCGCATAATTCATTCAGCTTGACATATCGCAGAGTGAGTGGAGACATTTACTGCATTGAGATTAAAAGAGCTCCCCAACAACTAGTGCTGTGTGTGTGTGTGTGTGTGTGTGTGTGTGTGTGTGTGTGTGTGTGTGTGTGTGTGTGTGTGTGTGTGTGTGTGTGTGTGTGTGTGTGTGTGTGTGTGTGTGTGTGTGTGTGTGTGTGTGTGTGTGTGTGTGTGTGTGTGTGTGTGTGTGTGTGTGTGTGTGTGTGTGTGTGTGTGTGTGTGTGTGTGTGTGTGTGTGTGTGTGTGTGTGTGTGTGTGTGTGTGTGGCAGATAATGGCTGTGGCTTGTGTCCAGTATGTCTGACTGCATTCATATTCAGCTTTGCTCACACGCCTGAGCAATGCCCTTCCACAGGTGCGGAAATAACAACCCCACCACTGTCTTAATGGCCAGTCTCTGCACACTCCGCCTGCCTTTCCCCCCCCCCCCCCCTTTCCTTCCCTTTGATTGATTGTTTTAATTTAAAAATAACCTGGGTCATCTATTTATTTTTGGTTTATTTATTTCACTGAAAGGGCTCCTATCGGTCGCTGGCAGGTCGCACGATTCCAATTTCCTAGAGTCGCTTCCCACCAAAAATGCAGAATGAGTCTAATAATGGCCTTTCACTCTATCAGACTCCCCCTCACCCCCACCCCTCCTTCTCCTGACACTCTTTCTTTACCTTTTGCCTCATGCAGTCAGTCAGTCATTGTATTCTTCAGAGCGGGTAGATAGGTCAAATAGACAGACGTTTGGCATTTCATGTGAAGAAATGTGGTGGAGTCCAAAGATTAAGTTGGCCATTCCACTGTCTACATTTGGATATAGGAACATATTCAATTCCTTTCAAATGCAGGATATCATGTCAGTGCTTATTATGAGTCTGGTGGTTTTGTTGATCGTAACGTATATAATATAAACTCAACATTTAACATTTAACAGTTCCCCTCAAATCTACAAAGTTAGCATAAGCTTATCATTTTGGTTTTCATTTTTGATTTTTTAACAGCAAGAAGGCCCACTGTTCACTACCTAGCATCTAAGTCAGACAAAGTTAGCCTTAAACTGGTGATCATAGTGGAGCATTAAGCAGCTAGAGTGCCAATCATTTCCCTATGAAGTTGGAAGAGACCAGAACATAGCAAAAAATGTTAATGTTGTTCAAAACTAGCTTGTGTATGGAGCATTTAGCAGCTAGCTCCAAATGTCCTTGAGGAGTTGCTGAAGGGGATACTCTATTGTACTAAGATACATTCTTCAGGTAGCAGTAAACCCAGCTGTACAGTATACAAATGCTAATGTTGCTCTGTAACCGCTTGATATCTAAGCTGTTTGGTAAAAAGTTAGCCATTTCAACTTAACTGAAGCAGGTGATTATTTACCAGTCCTGTGTTTAGATCATATGTTTAGATCTTGCCTTCTGCTGCCCCCAAGTGGACAAAAAAAACCACCAATGAAGGCTTACAACATATTGCTAACTTTATTCATTATCATCAGAAATCCTTCCTTCATCTCACATTAGGGAACTGTACAATTTTGCAAAGGCACAGTGAATATAAAAGAGAGAAAAACAAGGAGCCTAACATATTGAATAACAGGACACCAAGTTTAATAAAAAATCAAATATGTACAACATTGGAACAAAAAAGCGATGATAGCTTGGTAGCCCTGCTAGCATGAAATTACAGGAATATATTACCTGTCTCTTTTATCCATATACTTTTAAATGTGTCTCACTGCATATACATATAATGTGTAGAAAGTTGTACTTGATAGATTTGTTCTGCCCTCCAATCATGACCCATCCAGCTAAATAGTCTGAGGGACCTTCCAGAATGTAATTTCCAAGAGACGCCCCAAGAGTGCCGGCTAGGTTGTGAGAATTGGTAAACACACCAAACGAGTGTAGTCCCCGAGGCCCTGCAGTGCCTAAGAGAATGGGTAAGTGAGTGTGGATAACACTATCAAACAATGAGACAGCGCAGTCGGCCAGTACGGGACTTAAACTCATTACAGCTCGAAAAGGCTGGGCCCACATGTTGGGTTATAGGTGGCTACTTATCGCTGAGAAAATTTCACTTTCAGTGCTTTCAGCGTTAACTGTAATCCTGTGGTAAAAGCCATTAGGTGCATTCCCTTGAACTGGAAATAGCTTGTATTAGATTGTGATGTTGTTTAGTGCAGCTGTAGAGTTAAATGAAAAACATGATTTACTTTCAGACTACACAGTGCATTTCCAGGCTGCTATTTTTTATTTATCTACCAGATTCATATAACTCTTTAATAACTGATGCAGATGAATGGAAATGGATGAAAGGACATTTTAGAAATAACATCTAAAAAGGAGGGATGTTTAAGCCATGTGTCAAAGGGTCTGCAAGTCAATGTTAGAAAGGTGCTCCTACTGTGTGAATGTTTCTGCTTGCCAAACCATTTTCAATTTCCCCAGGTTCATAGATCACCAACAAAGATTTGAAACCAATCTACAGAGTTCCCACCTGTTAAAAATAGGTCATAACCAATGAACAAACCAAATTAAAGTAAATATTTTAGTAAAGCAGAAATATATCGGCTTTGACAACTTTCAAAAAACTGATATTCTGTCTATTCTATCTATTAAAATGTATGGGCAAATGTATATGTATGCTTAGCTCTTTATTTGCTTCTCTCTTAGCATGGTGCAGTTCTCAAACCCTCCACTAGATGTCAAGGTTCAAGGTTCTTTATTTAGTCATACGAACATAGCTACAGTGTAGTTATGCCGATTAAAATCTTTTGTCACAGGCTTCTCCAACAGTGCAACACAATAACACAGATAAACAGAAAAAATATAGTGCAAGTAAATAGTAATACAAAAGAAAAATAGTTTTAAAAAAGTGAAATAGTGCAATAAGAGTCTACAGTA